TGTTTTTGAGCAAATTTGGCGTACGACCCCGTAAGCACGATCTCTTCACGACGACGCTCCCATTCAGCATAGTCGAAATGACGCACATTTCGACCCAAAAACTTGTGTGTCTTAGGATCTGTTGCAGCCATAATTTTGTCATACGACGTCATATCTCCAAACAACTTCGCTTTTTCAGACATCATAAATTGTTCACCACATGAATAATGTACCCCCAGTACGTCAAAAGCCGAAGGAGTCCATCGCGAGAACACAGACGGAGGTTTCCAGAAGAGAAGGACGTCATCCGAAGCGTACTCGCACTTGCCATCAAATGGCGGAGCCGGTGCAGGGCGAAGGGGCAAAGAGCGGGCATCAGGCACAGGCGGGGGTGGACCAGGCGGACGGGTCCTCTTCTCCGACGGGGAGGACCTAGAAAGCGAGGCAGGAGCGGGCGAAGTCGCAACGCTCCGTGATCCGGAGGGCGGCCTTAGGGCGGCGGCTTCGGCGGGGTCAATGTTAGCAGGGGCCATTCGGCTATTAGAGACCCGTCCGTTAGGAGAAGTCATTCCTGCAACAGACGGATGTTTAATCATTGACGCAGGGCGCTCTTGACTACTCCCCCTTGACAAAGCAGCCGAACCTTCCACAGAATGGTGGGGCACTTCCATCCGATCCCGATGGCAGTGGTGCAGTCAGCACGTGGTGGGCAGCAGAGGAAGACGCATTCGTGTCAGGTGCTGTCACACGGGGGCAGCGGACGGTCGAAGACAACGAAAGGTGCGAAAGAGAAGGAGGATCGACGGGGTTCCCGACGAGTGTAGAAGAAGGCTCGTGTGCGATCCGAGAAGCGGCCCGACTGACAACACCAGGAGAGTCTTGACAAATAGTAGAAGACGAGGTTCTTGTTCCTTCTGTAACCCGAGCCGACGAGGTGAGCAGGGATGGACCGCTCGACGTCTTACCTCCCTGTCGCCCACACCACAAAGGTACTGCCGGAATGGGTCTGTCATGTCCGTTACCAGCAGGCGATGAGGCGGACGACGAGGAGGCGGGCCGAAAAACTAGATGTGATTTAGGAGCGTGGGGAGTATCCAAGGAAATAGGCTGTACACGAACATCTTGGGAGACTCCGAAAGGGTGCACGGTGGTTGCTGTTGACGGTAGTACCGGCTGAACTCCGCCATCGGCTTGTCATTTCTTACCCCTCCAGCCCCTTTTTGTCGAAGTGGAAGCGAGTGCTCTGTGTGTGAGGACTGTTTCGTGTCCGATGTGTCAGATGAGCGGCGGGCGCGTCCCAAGGCGTGATTTCGATGTGGGTTGCGTCCTGTAGGGCGTCTATACGAGGTCATGCGCTTTTTCCACCGACCCAAAGGGTGGGATCTTTTTCCATACACAACTTGATGTCATTGTAAAGCAAGCCGGTGGCGTTCACAAAACGACGATTACAGGATTTGAAGGTGTGGTCTTCTCCTAAGCAGTTGAGGCACTTGCCCTTGTACAGTCGAAGCGCGTTGCGGCGCTCTTCAGCCGAGACCAAGGGGGTGAACAATGGCGGATCATTCTTGGTTAGAGCCATCTCACTAGCGACGTTGTACACCTCTTGGAAGTGCCCTTGCAACGGCGAGTCGCTGTGGTGCAACAGAAAAGGGTCCCGATCATCACTAGGTAGAGGGTTAACACTCATCAGGGCGGCCGAAGAGCCTTGGCTCCACGAAGGGGTCACCGTCGAACGTAATGCCGAAGAAGCTACAGCACGCGAAACAGCAGACGGACCCCTAGCATGCGTGGGAATTACCGAAAAGAAATCATCTTCATGCACCGCTGGCGTGTGCGCGAACGCACCCTTGTTCAACATATCCCATGTATCATCCAGACACGAAGCATGTCGCCCAAAAGGGGCTTCCTTGGAGAGCTGCTCATCCTTGTACACCTGCCCAGACACTACCGGAAACTGCTTCAACATGGAGTCTCGAACAGCTATCTGCACTTGCGCATCCGAAGGCTTGAACGCGTGGTGGGAAACCATGACGGTCATGGCCAGCGCCTTATGGCGACGAATGTATTCTCCGTAAGTCTCGCCGTTGAATACGCCAAAACTGCGAAGACCATCAATCCCCGAGCTCTTGTCTTGAGTGTCCCAGGCGGCCGCCAATTTCTGGATGAAGAAGGCGTACGTCGAGGGCCCTGCCGGTTCCTTGCGCAAATGGTTTTCTACCTGCAGGAAGGCGGCATCAAGAAATTCCAGTGTGTCACGGTTGGTGGTTTGGCCTTCAACGACAGCAGCACGGACACGTTTGCGCAACAACGGAAGCCGTCCGGTGACCCAGGTGGAGGAATTGAAAGTCTGCTTGCGCTTGACGTCGCTTTTGTTGAGGATCTCTGTGACCACACCCTTGCAGCTAGACGCGAAGCGAGCAAATTCATCAGGATCAGGACCGAGGGGCAAGCGTGTAACACTGTCAAGTTGTTCCGGCTTCAGCTTGTCCATCTTGACTTGAATGCGGATGGTGTCGGCCTCCGCTGCAGCCGC